CTACTCAAACTCTTTTTAACTTTAAGTGTGACGCTTTATTAAATAAGTATAGACTTGGAAAGATAATGTTATTTTAAAAATAATTAACTAACTAATTAATGGTATAATTTGGTTAAAAAAAACTTTATACCCTTCTGGTCTTTATTATAACAAAATCCCAATTACTTCACCAAACCTAAGGAGAGATAATTAAATCATTAATTTTATTTAAAAATATAATAAACTTCCAATATACACCTATTTAAATGAAAATTTTTTAGATTTATATTATATTTTCTTTCATATTTAATGAATTTATATAAATAATATAAATTAAAAAATTATAATGAATACTTCATCAAATTCCTTATACTAAGAATAAAACTTTGTATTTTAGAGTGTGCCCTAGAGATTGAATAATATTTTTTTTTACTATGGGAGTATCCAATAATCAGATAGTATAAATTAAAGTAACATTAAGAATAGAGATAATATGATTACCAAAAAAAGAAAGAATACAGACAACAGATGGGTTCTCAATCCTCTCTCTCCCTCTTTTGCTATTGTCTTGGATTCCAGATGTACGCTTGCAACCAAAGTATGTAAAATGTGAAATAATGAACATTAACTAAAAGTTATTGGATCAAAGGAAAGAAGCTAATTTCTCGTATAGATAGCAAATAAATAGAATTAAAATTAATTTTTTTTCCCACTTTATAAAAAAATTAGAAAAGTATAATAAAATTAAGTTTTTTTTTAACTTCACATGTTACAAATGATATTTATAAACTGATAGTTTTATTTAGAACTTAAATATTTTATTTATAATTTAAGTTTTTAACTTTATAATTTTTTAAATAGATACTTGCAACTTATTTTAAAAAAAACATATATGATATACCTATCCATCTTATTTATAAATTATTTTTACATATTTTATTAAAAAAATTTAAATTTTATTAACTTCATTTAAAAATTTAACATTATTCTAACTTTATCTTTATTAATTATATATACATTAAAAATAAAATATTTTAATGTTTAACAACTTTTTCTGCAGTGAACAGAGATAAATGGATAAAAATGATGGAATTCACTACAAATGTATGTTCTCTTTCCTGTCATCCGTACAGGAGGAGTGGATAGCATTAAACCTTGTTTTTTTTATTTTAATTACAGCAACACAAAAAAATCTGTTTAAGGGAGAGAGTATAGGACAAAAAGCACGAAATCCGTTACCATCTAGAGAGGGTCATTAATATAATCCTAGTGCATGCTGGAACCATGTCTGTGCCACAGCACACAGTGCTGATGCAAGCTTCTTGCTTCTGAAGCAAAAGCTCACACGCGGCATAGCCATGGCTGCTCATTCTCACTCGTCCAGCCCCGTCCATTTCTTCAGAGTCATCCTCAAAACCAATCTCGAAACCATTGTAAGCATTTCTTCCCTTTGATGATGCTTCTTCCTCCCTTTTTTTTTTCCCCTTTTCCATGATCTGGTTTTTTATAGCTTTATTTACCCAATGCATGCGAAAGATTGCTCCTTTTTTCTTTTGGGGGTGTTTCTGTGATCATATGAACAGGGTTTAGCCTTTGGATCAACTGCATCTTTGTTTATAAAAATCATCTTCTTTTTGACAGAATTAAAATTTCCAGAAATGGAAACGCTGAACTCTTATTTGCTTTCCTCTTTGACTCTTCTCATTGACATTGGACTGAAAAGGATTGGTCTCTTATGGACCTTTTATGCTTAAATTTGTGATCAAGCTGCCTTTAAATTGAAATATCTTCAAGGTTACGTGAGAGAGGGATGCTGTGAAGTTGAATTGATATATTCATTATGATTCTGGAGTCTTAGTTATTTCAAACAAACATTATAACATCGCATTTGCTCTTGAATATATAGAATCTTTAAGTTCAAAAGTAGTCAACATTCTTTCCTCTTGTACTTTTTTTCCTTTTAGGATAATTTTCATCAACATGACAGAATCAGAGCTGTTGTACTTGCAGATAAATGAAACACCACACACACATTTCCAGACTATGGGTTACTCATTATCACTTCTTCACAGATGATTCCAAGCAAATTCACACGGAGATATGGAAGACTTTTGCCCAACCCAGTGTATCTGAAGCCTCCTGATGGTAAAGAATGGAAAGTGTATTGGACGAAGCATGATAATGAGGTTTGGTTTCAAAAAGGATGGAAGGAATTTGCTACCTTTTACTCTCTAGATGAAGGGTGTTTGTTTTGTTCAAATATGAAGGAACTTGTCAGGTTGGTGTACTTATAATTGACAAGAGTTGCATAGAAATAGACTATCCTTTGTCTATGGAAACGGATGCCTCTAGTCAAGAGGACAGCCTTGATAATCTCAGTGATGATATAATTGAAATCTTGGATGAGACACCTCCAAACGAAAAGGCCAGGCATGAAACACAAACACCCTTGTTCTAGGCCTCATAAGAAAATGAGAAGTACTACAGATGAAGATGCTGAGGAGAGAAACTTCAGTCTGCAGAATCAGCTGGTGGGTGTGAAGACTAAAGGAAGGCAATTTCAAGGAACAGGACTTCAGAAATCAACCAAAGCAAAATTGAAATTTCTGAGCAAATATCTGAAGGTATGTGTTTTTGTGATCTGCTTTACCTTTTTAATTTGAGGATTGAATTGTCTTGTGTGCAATCAAGTTCGCTTAAAAATCAAAATTTTCTATGACACCACTCAAAATTGTGCAGAAGACACCATGGGAACAAGAATTTTCAACAAAGTTAAATGTGTGAATTCTGAGCATAGACAGAAAAACGTATTAGCTGCCGTGGAAAAGAACAGAGCTTTGGATGTTGCCAGATCTTTCAAATATGATAATCCCTTTTTCACGTTAGTCATGCAGCGTTCATATATCGGTTCTGGTTGTTACTTGGTGAGCTTTTTATTAGAATTGAGTTATCTTCTTCCAAAACTGAAACACTTATTTGCAGCTCTTGATTGGTGCAAGAGTTAAATTTTCTTCTTATCTCTCGAAATTTTAATCTTCTTTTCACAGTCAATGCCAAAAGACTTTGCTGCAAAACATTTGAAGGAAGAATGTGTTGTGCAACTTCAGACCTTGGATGGCAGAACTTGGCCTGCTAAGTTTAAAGTTCCTAAAATTGGAGAAGGCTGGAGGAAGTTTGTGAAGGAAAATGGTTTGAAAGTGGGGGATGTTTGTGTATTTGAAATCATTGATCTCTCATTCAAAGTACATATTTTTAGAGATGCTGAAAAAGGTACTAACTTTGTACATTGTACATTGGTTTATATGTTGATAAGTTCTCATGAATTCTTAGTTCTATTTACTTTGGATGATTTCTAGTTAAAAGTGAAGTGAGGACTTGTAATCTTGCATTCATTTGCAGGAGATCTGAAAGTTAATGCTTTTGAAAAGGAGCAGAGCAGCTGTATGCAAGATCCACCTCTTGAAAGGAGAGCTCTTCCATATCTGAAAATCCTCGTTTTGTGGCTTTGATGACACACTCTCACATATATGGCACATCATACTTGGTAAGCCTTCTATTTATTTATTTTTTTTATTTTTTGTTCTTGCAGTGTAGTTGTTTGTGTGCTTTTACAAAATTATTTTATTTTGTTGGTAAATTGAACAAAGAAGCTATGCAGAGGAGGCTGAATTAAGAGCTGGAACCTTGACTGATTGGTTACCTTTTTAATTTAGATAAATGGTAGGATGGTCAAGACGATGTTATTTATTTGCGGACAGTTATACTTTTGTCTCTTTAGTTTCACTCAATTTTTAATTTGATCTCTATAATTTTATAAACAGTATATGATGTACAAAAGGAGCCACACTGTACATTGACTCATTCCTCGTGTTAGCATGATATTAAAACAATTATTTTCAGTTTACTTGTGCTTTAAGCCTATTATGTTAGTGTACATACTATTGTGTCTGTTTCAACAACAACAATAAATCTTATCCCGCTTAGATTATACAATGCTAAACTTTCTGGTATGTTGTAAGGTTTGATTGTTGATAGTGGGCAATGGTGTTATACAATTTATGTAGCCAACCCACTTATTATACAACACCAGTGTGTTATGTTTCAATTTATTGAATTTGACCAAAAAGCAACGTATTTTGTTAAGAAAAACTAAGGTAAAGTACAGTATTAAGAGTTTACCCAAATATAGTTTGATTACCTAGTGCTTTAATGTTTCAAAGTAGTAGAAAACACAGAGACCATCATCCCAAAATGTCGATGCTAAAGTGTCCATATGTAATTGAAAATTCAAGTTGTGTCTAATCTTAATTTTTTGACATATATTGCCATGAACACGACTCCTTTATTTGATTGGAGTGTTCTTGCTCAATAAGTGATTACTTGCTAATGATTGTTTTCACCTGCTTTGGCAGCATGTGCCCATAGATTTTGCAAAAGCTCATCTTCATAACAGGACTAAGAGTGTCACATTTCATGTCCAAGATAAAGATTGGACTGTTGGGTATGCATTCAGAAGTTTTGATAAACAACAATTGCTGCATTTACTTGGGGATGGAAGCAATTTTGTAAGGATAATGATTTGAAAGTAGGTGATGTTTGTGACTTTGAGCTCACTCAGAAATCCAAATTTCAAGTGACAACTTTTCGGGCGACCACTTAACTCTCAGTTCATTCGAGCGACTAGGTAAAAAATATAAAATAGTAACCAGTTGCAAAATCTCGTGATCCTGTCTGATATGCCAAAAAAACAATTTTGAAGCTTTCTTGTGTCCAAAGAAATAGACTCAAATCCCCGCAAGTGAATGGAGGAGAAAGTGAGGAGAGAGACAGAGAAGGTGTGGGCCCCACCTTCTCTTCTCTTTTCCTTTCTTTCAACTCCTGAACATACTTTGATGGTTAATTTCATTTCTTTCTATTTTGTTCTGAAATTCTGCAGGTGCAGGTGGAAGCAAGAAGGCAACACTTTGGAAGTTTTGGGTAAGCTGATAGGTTCTCTTTTGGATTGGACCTTTTGAGAAGAAACACTTTTACACTATCCACAGAAGGACTTGTGATTTAGTGAATACCAAACCAAAAAGGGTAATTAGGGAACAAGATATGTATGTTTTGTGAAACTCTTGCATTATGAAAAACTTCGGCTCTTGTGTATTTCATGAACAGAAATAATATTATTTAGACCAGTAATATTTCATTTCTTGATAGGTTAATTATTTAAACATGGTTGATGTCATGTACATGTCATGTTATTAATGTAGGTGGTGTTCAAGAAATTTAAGGTCGTGTTAGCTTAAGATTCCTTTCATGTTGAGAGCATTCTTAAGAACCCATCTTCTCACAGCCCTTCCCAAATTCGTCAAGCAGTGTATTTTATCATTGTTTTCTACAAAATATTCATGTTACTTGGTTATGTGTGCTGACATAGTAAGCTTAAAACACAAGTAAACCAAGTATGTCAAGGGCCTCAAGGTTCTCGGATACCTACATTAATAAATAACAAGGCATGCATGTGACATCAGTCTACTATATCTAAATAATCAATAACATGACATGCATGTGACATCAACCATGTTTATACAACAAACGTCTTAAGAAATAAAAGTTAGGGAAAGTCACACTCAAGACACCTAAAAGCAACATGAATACGGAAAAGTCACTTGAAATTACAAAATTATTTTAAAGTCTTATGTTAATTACTGCTAGACCATAGTTAATTATTGCTTCTTTTTTGTCAAAGTTAATTATTTCCACTTAGTTGTTAATTAAACAACTATCCAGCAGTAATTCAAATTGACAACTTCACTTATGGATATAAGATTTTAGACTAATTTTCATATAGGATGTAGAGCCATGCCAAAAGTATATATAAATGTTGTTCATAATATATATATATATATATATATATTCCCTCTAGTTTTATTTATAGGGTGGAGAGTGAAGAATTTTTTTAGTCTTATTTATAAATCATGTTATTAAATTTTTATTATAAATTTTTTTTACCCTCCATTTAATGTTGGAAAGAAAAAATATATTATTGAAATGTGTATATTTAATAGAAGTAAAATTGAGAACTCATTAAATTTTAAGACATAGTTAATAAGTTTTGAGATTTTCTTATACTGATAAAATATATTGAAAGTGATTTATAAATAGGATCAAAGTAGTATATAATAAGAGTTGGGGTATCAAAATAAATATACACACATAAGACTTGTAGTTCTTCATAATGCAAAAGTTTCGCAAAAAAAAACCTCTTCTATTGCTTAATTAACCTTGTTGGTTTTGTTTTCAGCAAATTCCAATAATTACGTTCTTCGGTCTTAAATAGAAAAAACACTCTTAACTACCTCATCAATAATAAATATATATATATATGTATAGTTAAATCATCAAAAAATGGTCTAAAACTAAAATCACTTTACAAATTTACGTTTATTTAAAATATAAATTTTAAAAAGTAACTAATTTTATAGGATCCTTAATTTATTCTAGAGGGTGACTAATATATAAAACTGGAGAGACTACTTCTATTGATAGCGTAAAGAATTTTCAAGGAACTCAGTATCCTCCATAGCTCTGAAAGATTCAAAATTAACCATTAAAGTCTGTTAGGCACTTGTTAAAAAAAAAACACACACACACACACACTGAGAGAGAGAGAGAGAGAGAGAGGAATATGGAAGCCACGGACCTAGTGCCGATGAGCACCAATCTGGATAGTGTATAGTAAATTGGACGATCCTGATTTGATGTTAATCAATTGGAAAATATAACTTTTGATTTATGAGTTTTCCTTTAATCCTTGAATTTTTTTTAACTCAGAATAACTCAATTCTTATAAATTTTTTAACTTAACACAACCAAATCTCTATAACTCCTTAACTCAATAAATTATAAGGATTAAATTGTATTAATCAAAGTTCAATGATAGAACTAATAATGACAAAAAAAGCAATGACTATAAGTTATATTATCCCTAATCATTTTTAGCTTAATCTTTTGTCAATATCAAATTTAAACGATTCAACTACAAGTACAGCAAGAAGCACTAAAGATAGACCACTTTACCGTGTGCAATAAAAACCTTGTCTAGAACAACCAACAAATTTAATGCAACTGACAAAGGTTTAACTTATAATTTATAAAAATGTAATATCAAATTTTACTATACATTTTTTGATCTTAGTGAGCTCTGAGATTAATTTGCCCCACACAGAAACATATAAGGATTTGACTTATAGTTCATAAAATTGTAAAATCAAATTTCACTATATTTTCGTTAATTTTAATGAGTTTTAAAATCCAACTTACATAAATTTTCCTCTCCCACACACATATTTATTTTTTAACCAAAAAACAAACTTTTAGACAGACCTCATTCGGTCCCCTCAATCAACCTTTTATTGTGTACCAAACAAATGGACTCATCCGCAAGAGAACTGGACAGCAAGTCGGCAACTTTGATGAATGTGTGCGGATGTTTTGTCAATCAAGAATTTGTCTTATTTTATATAAATAATTAGGTAAATAAGCAGCAGCCAAAAAAAAAAAAAACACCAGCATAGGGGTAGAGTGTAAAGAATGACTTCTAAATTTGTTTGTTTATACATTATATTGACTAAATGTGTTTTTAAAAAAAAATAATTAGGTAAACAAGCAGCAGCAAAGGGTAAAAAAAAAAAAATACACCAGCATAGGAGTAGTATATAAAGAATGACTTCTAAATTTGTTTATTTATATATTGTATTGACTTATTGTGTGTGTGTGTGTGTGTTTTTTTTTTTTTTAATTTCCTTGAGGTTTATTTATAATACTTCCTTGAATAATTTTGATCCAATTAAGTCTCGTTTGGTTGAAAATTTTTCATAATGTAAGAAATATTTATGAATTAGAAATTTGACATTTTTATGATTTATAATATACATTCTACAAATAGATCTAATTAAATTTTTTTAGTATTTACAAATAATTTTTACTGTAATATATTGACGTTTTATATTTTATAATTATAAATATAATTTTAATATTTTTCCTTAAATTTATCAAATTATTCACTCTCTATTTAAAAAAATATAAAATATTTTTAATCAAAATATATTATCAATGAGTTAGTTAATTATCTTTCTATATTTGTCTTTTTTTAATAAAGTGTATTGCTTAAAAGTGAAGAGTTAAGTAATTTATTTATTAAAAATATTTTTTAAAAAAATAACTCGTTAATTATACAATAACCAATGGAGTGCCCATAATATACATTTATATAAAACACAAAATTCATGTCCTTCTCCATCATTATATATCTGAACATGCTTTTCAGTTATGTTATTTAAACAAATTTCAATTTATTAAATTAATTTTTTTATAAAAAATATTCAAATATAAATTACATTACAATAATTAAATTTTATCTCAACTTCGATTCACAAACTGTAATTCATGCAAACTTTAATTGTGTGAACGTTAATTCAAATCAGCTTTTCATCTCCTTCGTACTGTGAGCAAAAGAAAATCG